AGCGCGCATATTACGTATTCTGTAGCCGAGCGCTTGGCTCGATCCGTACCAAAGTGGCCATAATGGCAATGGGTGTAAGTGGAATATACATATATAATATATATATATGTATGTCGACGATGCAAATGCTTTTGTATGAGTGGCCAGCAGGCGACGCTGTTTCATTTTCAAGGCTACGATATAAAATGTGTACACGTCGGCACGGGGAACGCAGCACAGCGCAACGCAGCGTTAAGCTAATATCCGAGACCCCGTTCGAGAGACTCTCTGCCCGAATGCGCTTACGTGGCGAGGGATAAACGACGATGGATGATAAATGAAATGAAAATCTTTGCCGGACTACTACTATTCGGCGGCAAACTTACACATCCAATGCGTTGTAAAATTATTATGTAAACCGAATATTACTTTATACGTATGTAAAAGCTCATATTGTAATGTATTAATACAGATAACATGACCTTTTCATGTACTTTAATACAAAAATCGTGTACATCACGTAGACGTATGTGTGATGTTCGAAGCAATATGAAAGAGATGAACACATGAATTTTACTTTTTATTAAAAAAAACGCAGTTGCAAGGGCACAACTTGTATGCTTGCGATTCTAAAGAATATATTAATTGAAGTAAAAGCTTTAATTTAACTATTATCACATAATTTTTCATTCAAAATGTTTTATTTAAGTGTATCTGCTTGAAATTCGTGATTTTACTTAGTGCAATATTAGGTTGGTAGCTAAATTTAAATTTTTAGGTTTGCTGACGTAGCCCAAATGCAAAAATTTTTAATTGGTAGTAGATAATTCAGCCGTGAATCTGTAATAAAGTCTTTTTAGTGATTGTAGTTTTCGTTTCGGGTTCGTTGATAGATTGAAAATGAAATGAATTTTTTTGTCATAAATTTCTGCAAAGCTAAGAAGGCATCCTAAGCCAAAAAAGGGGATGTGAGCTGTTTGTGGTTGCAAAGCCTCAACAAAAGGCAGCGTCAAAATTGGTATACCAAATTTCGTTCTGGTGATTTTTCACTCAAGGATGAAAAACGCTCTGATCGTCCTTTTGGTGTTGATTAAATAGAAATTGTCAACTTTGAACAGTAATCACCAACCGAATGATCAATTAAAAAATGAAGTAGCAAAAAAGCGGCCTAAATTAGCAAATCAAAACGGTGTTTTATTCGTTTATTGACATATACAGCAGAATCCGATTAGTATGACGCCGGATATATTGACAACTGCTTAATATGACGTAATCGCACTAGGAATTTGGTTTCCATATAAAATTCCTTTAAAAAACAGCTGTCTAGTCGGATATATTGACCTCGCTTACATTGACATGTCGCTTATAATGACCCATTTTTGCAAAAAAATATGTCCAATTATAATGACCGACATGATTTTACATGATGTGGCCAAGTCTACGAAAGCAATTGCTATGTCTTTTGTGCACAGTAGCACCAGGGACTGTTTTTACAATTAAATTATGCAAAGAAATCAATCAAAAATTACTGATTATGATATTATTACTGTTACTATTATTACTATTACTGATATTACTGATATTTAATTACTTTTCGATCTTTACAAAAATCATTGAATTTTTAAAAAAATCAATAATGATGATGGTGTTAAATTGTACCTGATACAGGTTTTTGCTAATAAGAATCAGAAGTTTTATAAAAGTGAGAAAATGATGCTGTTTGAAAGATGAGAACATGTCATTGACCAAAATGGACAATGCATTTCAGAATTTAGTTATTTAGTTCAACGAAATGTTTTCGATTTTCTAACAAAAATCCGCACTTGCTTAGTTGCTGAACTAATAGATCACTTTTTCGAAGGTTTGATTTATTACTGATTTTCGAAATATTTAGCAGGGTTGATTTATTACTGAGATTGATGATATTACCCTCCAAAAAATAAAATAAACGATTTTCATTTCGAACACTTTGATAGCATAATGCAAGAGCAAAGTATAAACGTTAACAATGACTTTCTATTTTGAATATTTCGAAAGCATAATTAGCAATATGTCACTACAATAAATACTTGAATATATGTTAAATCTGATATGAAATTTTCAATTCAAAAAAAGAAGTCAGGAAGTAAAATAGCTCCACCGATTCAGAAGCCATGTGGTAATTTTAGAAGCCATTTGGTAAACCTTTGTGAAGACTCGCGTTCCTTTATATGCAGATAAATGCAAAAAATTTCGCTGCCTTTTCGTCAAAAACAATTTAAATCAATTTGGACGATTCAAAAATGTTTGAAGAACATCATTTGGGAATCGTGACGATTAGTATGTGGTAAAGGTCGGTAAGAAAGTTTCTTGGATATTGATCATTTAATTTTTTTTGGCAGTTTTAATGAAACCTTGCATATAGAACTCTATTTTCATAGTCTTAATGACCAACCTAAAATATTTAAGCAAAAAGTATAAAAACTAATTGAAGTTCGGAATAATAAACTTTATGAACAAGGTTTGTAGTCATAATTTAAATAATGTCAAAATTGAATTTGGTGAATCTCAACTCTTATTGATTAAATCAGTTATTTAAACATATCGAAAAAGGATCATTGAAACCAAATTTGTTAAATTATTATTAACACAATAATCAATATCTATATAAGAGTGAAGAGCATTATATCGTCAACAGCAATGCGATCAAATGCATTTATAACGTGAAAGCCTCAATACGATGAAGGATAAAGACCAATTGATTATGTTTAAAATTCCACATGCGTTACAAAGGATCGTCATAGCAAAATGTGGGAATGATTATAACACGGCGGGAATAAGAAATATTTCAAAGCACTTTGGAACAGCAGAAGCTCTATGAAGCAGCAATAGATCATTGAAAGCAATGAGACGAATATATAGCGATTTTAATGACTACAATTATATCTTCAAGATCAAAGAACACAAATTTCACAAAATCTTATACAAATATCATATTGTATTATAGCTAAGTTCAGTTGTCTTCTAAAAGTTAAAAGTAAGTCACATAAATATAAAGTTGTGGCATGAAATTTCTATTGGATGCATTTCGAAATCCTTCAATGAATTATAATGAATAAAAATAAAAAAGGATGCATTTAAATCATATTTTTGCTTTTTACTATTTTTGATTTTTTACAATAAATTATCATGAAATAAAAATCATCACCTAAGAACGATCGACAGAAAATCATTCAAATACCGATTGACGCAAGAATATCTCAATATAGAGATAAAGAAACAAATAGATTAGATAACACCTTCGCCGAACACATTCAATCATCTCCAAATAATTCTAGGAACGAAATAAAAGTTCAAAGTGACTTTGTTTAAAATATGAAATTATATTTTGGCTATTAAGAGATGATAATCGTTTTTATTTACATTCAATAAATTAACTTAAAAATTCAATTTAATGCAAACGAAATTAAAATATTTCAATATTAAGATTGCAATAATTATCGAACATTACTTTGAGAAGAATGCCTAGATTTATGCACTCACATTAGAGACTGTTAATTAACCAAACGTTAGAGCTTTAAAGCTCTACTTTGCATGAAGTACACTTATTGAACGTTATTATAAAATGTGCAAGTTGTATTAATTTACTAATTACAGTTTCAAACTCATTTAGTTTTTATTAAAATCATAATAAATGTAATAAATAAAATAATAATATGCTTTGCTATTTTCGCTACAATGTTTGATTTTTATACTAAATAAAACATTTGAATTTTTAATTATTATAAAATTAATTTATAATACACTGCACATATTTATAATAACCGTAGAATTTTTATCACTAATTATAAGCATATAGATAGATATATTTAAGTACTTACCTTGGTTGGCAAAGTCGCGTGGAAAATTAAAATAAAAACGTACAAGTACAATTAGAGAGTTGGAATGAATTAAAGGATATATTAGTGACCATTTTCATGACATAAAATATATTTTTTGTTTTGTAAATATATTAATAAAGCATGATAGTACATACAGAAATATCAAACTATTTGCAAATGCAATATAAACTATATAATATTGTATTACAAGTACATATTTATATTCATAAAAATGATCACAAGAATCATACGCCATTTTAAAGGTCTTTTCGCAAAAATCCTGTTAACCAATTTTCAACTTTGGCTCATCATTTAAAAAAAAAAAATAATTTGGTTCTATTCGAAGTAACCTTCTGGACTATATTATTTATAGTAGCTAATATTAAATTGATTTTTTGTTAACGTTTGAAAAAATAATTCTATCTTGACTCAGTATCGCTTTTAGATCAATTAAACGTTATATCTTATAGGTTTTAAGAGATGAAGTGAAAAATAGAAGTTGGTATTTTGGATCTGTCGAAAAGGTCTTTAATATCCCTATATAAATCCTTTAAACGTAAAAAGTAAAGCTACATTAGACTTAATTGTCAAAATGTGAAACATATAATCAACCGATAATATATTTGTCGTTAATATAACTTGCCTGACAATGAGTTTTTTAGTTTTTATAGTTTTGAAATATACAAAAACGTAAAAAATTAGTAATCAAATAAATAAAAACTAAAAACAAAAACTATACGATCACAAATATTAGCCGGATAAAATATTAAACAAAGAATAATTATCGAATCAAATGCAAGTCAAATATATCATAACGGTGATATGAAAACGTCTTTTTAAAAGATTTTCTAAAATACTGCAATAAACGAAAATTATGTAAATTTTATATGCAATATTATTTAAAGTTTTTAATATTGATGAACAAATAATTACGAAGTTTATGAAATGACTCGAAAATTAAAATGCAATTATGGGAACAGTAATAGAATGCGTTTCATAAAACTTTTGAATAATATTACGCGCCGAAAAAAATTTGTTATAATTAAAATTTTAAACAATTTTTGATTGCTTTCTTTATTAGTTTTCATCGAAATCATTTTTCTCTTTAGCATTGCAATTAAGTTTCGAGTCTATTCAAAATAAAGTGACTATGACACTTACCTCGTTCTGAATAGTGTAGTACATGCCATCGCCATCCGTATTGTCGCCCGTATTATCTTTCAAAGTCGCATCGCTGCCTCTATGTTTGCCCCCAGCGCCGCCTCGGCCGCCACCCTTCTGGAAAGTCATTTTCAAACCGCAACGAGAGCGCCTTTTATCACTTCCATTGGAACCAGTGGCACCTCCTCGATTTATTTTAATCACAGTCTTTAAAGTTCCCGTATAAGCAGAGCCACGATGTTGTTGACTCAATAATCTCTGTTCCTTCTGTTTTTTACGCTCCTGCTTAGCGGCGTCAGCTGCTTGCAGGGTTAAAAGGCCCAAAGCGTTCATCACGCTTTCTTTCTGCAATAAAGTTTCAGGGCTTTCGTCCATAAGAGATACCAATACAGGTGGAGGTGTTTCAGACTTTTTCATATCTATGTTTTTGACATCAGTGGTTTTGACATCTTCAGTCTTCTCATTAGGTCTCAAGTTTTCTTTCACTTCTTCCCTTTTGTCAGTAGGAGTTCCTTCTTCAGCAACCAGAATGGGAGGCTGCAATTCTTCAATGACTTCTAATTTTTTAATATTCTCTGCTAAGCTTAAATTATCGCTTGTAACAGTGGATTGAAATAAATCTTGATCTGATTTTGCTTGAGATACTTGTGAAATGCTAGGCGTTAAGTTATCTTCCATAGAGATATCTCCAGGACCAAAGTCATCTAATCGTTCCACGTCTACATCACTTTCAGTATCAACGGTCTGAGATATTAGCATAGGCTCTTGAGATGAAGTCAACATAGGAGTTTGAACCAAGTCTTTAATTGTTTCAACATCCACACTGGTATTACTATCGTATGCTTTCGCTTCATCGATTTCCATAGACGCTTCAACTATGTCGGCGACAGTGTCATCTTTCAAGTTTTCGCTAACCAAATCAGAAGCAGTTGTTACTAAAGGCATTTCTTTATCTAAAACAGGGGCCTGGGTAATTATTTCACCTAAACTAGGATCACTTTCAATTCCAACATTGTTTTCCATAAACGCAGGTTGACCGTAAAACTGTTTTACGTGCATGGCCCTTTGTGTCGGATTTTCTGGAGCAGGCTCGGGACTGACAGAATCCGCTTTAATTAAAATAGGAGGAGAAGGATCAGCCAACAGCGACACTTCATCCAGTGGTATTTCCATCGGATTTATGACTAAATGTTCTTCCTCCTTAGGTTCGATTTTAATTTGTATAAGAGGTGGCGTAGGTGTGACAACACTCCTTCGTTGTCGGGTACTTCTCCTTACAAACTTCGCTGTGTCAATTACTTGAGCATCATTAGGGGTTTCAGTATTAAAATTTTGTGACATTTTGTCCAGAATTTTCAGTTTTGTCGGGCATTTTGGAATCTGTATCTGCATTCGTATCATTATTATTTTCAACATTGGCAGTAATTTTATTTGGTGATTTTTGTACCAAGAACTGGTCACAAAAACTACTTGTATTGTTGTGTCAGAGCATTTAGATAAAGAATCGGATCGTCTGCGTCGCCTAGAAACTTCAGAGTCCGAAGATGGTGCTTCAATTTTAGCAGCTTGTTGAGGCAAAGACTTAACACCCGAAACTGGCTCTGCTACAGTAGCGCTCATTAACCTGGGTCGTCTTTTCTTAGCACTTGGACTGTCTGCTCTCGGCTTTCCATTACGCAACATCTTCGGTTTTGTGTCTTCGCCCGCGCTATGTCTCCTTTTCCTCCTATTAGCTCTTTTAACAGTTACACCCAAAGCAGTCTTACGTTTACCGATAACGATTGAATTTTTAACTAATCCCAATTTCTTTTTCGCGGGCCCTTTCTTTGCTACTTTTTTAGTCCCTTTGGCGGTTTCATCATTTGGAGCTTCGTCGGCATTTATCTCTTCGGTAGAATTCTTTGCAGCAGTTTTTCCCTTTTTACCACCTGTCGTTGGAGATTCATCAGACACTGCAGCATTACCACTGTTTGCCTCTTCAGCAACATCATCTTCGGTGCTCTGAACTGATTCCATTTCAGATGCATTCGAAGTTTCGTCTGGGGGAACAGAGGAACTCACGGCAGTGCGTCTTTTGCGGCCACCAGCTTTCGGTGTAGTGGTCGGGGTCTCTGTAGATTTGGTGGATGGGGATTCACTTAGTTTCGGCTTCTTCTCCTTTCCAGCCATTTTGAACACGTTTTAAATTTTGAAAAGAGTTGGCGTGTGTGAGGGCACTCACACGTGGTAGCGGGCGGGCGCGATACGTATTCCTTGAAATAAAAATATTCAATATTAATGATTTTGTAATTTATGATATTTATTGTTATACATTTAAATATGTAACAAATTAGTGATGAAATTAAAATAATTAATTTGAAAATATAACTTAATCAGACAGTATTTTCGAAGCGAGCTTCTAAAAAAATTTGTAAAAGTTGATAATTTATAGGCATAATTTTCATTTTAATTCAAATATGTTTTATGAAGAATTACGATAAATTACATATTGCAGAGCAAATCATTAATTTCATTCAATAAAAACAAATCAAATTATTACAAACCGGAAGCATATACCGGAACAAAAGAGTATGCGCCATCAAATTTCGATAAACCTACACCTGTCGAAATTTTACCGAAAATCCCGAACCGTTATCTGCAAGGCTTCTTTGTTTATTGCACATTATATAATCTAAACTTAGTAAAAAAAAAGTATTTAGTTTACAGTCACTATTTCAAACAACATAAGCTAATGATAAATAATTAAGAAAAAATCTCTACCGTACCGTAATTATAAAAATTTAATTCCATTTAGATGAAGTATAGTAACAACTAATAAATTGAATTTTAACCATTGAAAAAAATCGAACTACACCTTTGAAGAATGCTATCATTATGAAATTATTAAACAATAGATTCAATAATCACATATTTCTATCATCAAATTAAGCTCAGTTTGTGTGCAGATATCTTCGCATTCCATCATTAGAATGTGAAAAATAATAAATATTTTTAAACAATCGGCTTGTCAAGAATAATATAGATAATCTTTGTGGCAGAAAGAAAAAAAATTATATGCTATAGGGGTATTTAAAAAAAAAAATATATTTTGTAATAGTTATTAATATAACTTTTCAATAATTTTCTTATTCATTTATATTACTAATTCGTGTTAAATATGAATTTTAATCTTTAACACTTCGTGTGTAAATTTATAAATGTCTAACTCAAATGCAGTATTATCAAGATTGTTATTATCAAATGCTTCCGGCGTCTTTCTTTGTTCTAATATGTAAACGAAACAAATAAGCCACATTATTATTTATATGTGGATATAACTATATTACACCATTGTACTAGTTATAAAACTTGTAACTATTATTAGTTATATTAACGTATATAAATCCTTCATTTTTTATTTTTATTAAATTGTTGCGATCAATAAATGAATTTATTTTATTATTGATTTTAGCACTTGTTATATTTCTTGAATTTTGGAACGTTTTGCCTAATATTAATAGATTTCAATTTAAATCTTCAATATGTTCAGCACCATCAACAATTTGCCATGCCATACTTTGAAATTTTTATTAAAAAAAAGGAAAATTATCTAATAAAGCAAGGAAGCTTATATATAAAATTGATTGTATTACTATTCACAATTTGATTACTGAAAGTAGGAGATATAAATAAGCTAGAACTTTTTTGAAACTGATTATTAAAAGTAATTAAAACATCCCATATGATTATTAAAATTAATTATTAACTTTGCGTAGGGAAAGTTATAGTAATCGCAAAAAAATTGAAAATGAAAATTTTTATATATCTTTACGTTTCAATTTCTGAATATTTTGGCATATCTTAGAAAAAATGGATGTATGTGTGTGCGGATACAAATTTTCGTCAACGATTTCGGGAACACGGATCAACCGATTTGAATAATTCAAAAAACATTCGATTCGTATTAATAAGGAGACGTGCTGATTAGTTTTTGGCGAAGCCAGGTCTAGCCGTTTTGAAGATACGGGACAAAAAGTGCCAAAAACAGTAACTCAGTTTTAAGAGACCGGAGCGTCCGATTTTAATAATTCTCTAAAAAAACATTTTACTTGTATTGACAGGATGAATAATTGATCAAATTTTCATGAAGGCAGGTCTAGCGGTTTCGGAGATCTAGTGAAAAAAAGTAAAAAAAACGCCATTAGAGATTTTAAAAATAAGCATAAATATTGTTTACATTCCTATGGGTTCCGTACCAATGTTTATCCGTTAGATGGCGACGCGGCGCTTACGCGCTTTGATATTTCGTCTCTATGCAGCTAAAGCAGTGCGATTGCTTTGAAAAAAAAGTTCAGAATTTCCAAAATATGTCAAAATAAAGAAAACATTTTTTTTCAAAAAAAAAGTAATTTTTGTCAAATTTATAGTTTCTCAAAAATCTAATTTTTTTTAAGTATAATTTTTTTCAAAAATGTTAATCGTTTTTAAAAAAATAATAATTTTGGCACGGGAAATTCCAGCAATTTGCCTTAAGGCACGATGCCATGCGCCCCACTAGTTTATGTTTGTGTTTCAAGTTTAAACCTATTACACAATTAATATACTATATACACAATTAATAAAATTATTAGAAATATTTAAAAATATTAATTCATTAGCTAACAAGTATTTAAAACTTAGTATTAGTTAGCACAAAAATGATGGCCTTGAGGGCAAAAAAAATTATAAAAAAAGATAATTTATATGCTTAATTTTCAAAACATTTAATAATTTTAATTTAAATATGTTATATTGATTTAGTCAAAATAAGATAAAATTGAATATCATCAAGTATTTACTTATACCAAAAATATATTGTATAACTATATAAAAATATATTTATATGTAACAAGGGGCAAAATGACAACCCTGTTTATAAAGCTATAAATAAATAAAAAAGAGCAATTGAAAATGTTCAATAACTAAAAAATCCATTGGTTTATTTTAAATGCCAAAAGATAATGAACAACCTGTAAAGGTTATGAAAACTAATAAAAATAATTAATTTTGGGCAACTAATGTACATAATTTAACAATTAATGTACACAGTCAAATAAAATCACAAAAAAAACAAATGATTGATTTACAAACGCCATCTCAATAATTGACATTACATACCTATTTCTAATGAAACATAACCTCAAATAACACTACTTCAAGAAACATATGAATAAGTGCACACATTTACATTTTGCGACTAGCAATCACTTGCACACAATAATAACACTATAAAATTATCTAATTGAACATTAAAACACATGATTACATAAATAAAATAAAGTACATAATATAATATAAGTTTGAGTAATTTTAATGGCGTTTTTGACAAGACTGTACGGAGTTCATAGATGATCGGTAGCTCATACCGATTTGCAGGTAAAATTATCGGAAAGGAATACAAAGCGAACTACTACACCCTATTGAAAAGTGACGCACAGCTGTATGTTGCCAAAATCTCATTGAAATGAACAAGATGATATAATACTTGCTCTGGCAATACATTCAGATAATAAAGCAAGGTTTAATTTTCTTAAAATTTAATTATTTTTAAATTAAGATTTCTATTACGTTGGAACCAAATTCTTCGGAAAATGTTTGTAGTTGACTACATATTAACATTAGTTGAAAAGGCTGAAATTATTATTTATTAATCATGTAATGAAAAATTAATAATGAAAAAATTTTGTTTAGCATTTATATAACTTGTCATAGTTTTCAAAATTGTATTTTTATTCAAATATATATATATATATATATATAACTAGTGGGGCGCATGGCATCGTGTTTTAAGGCAAATTGCTGGAACTTCCCGTACCATTTTTTTTTAAAGATTAACATTTTAAAAAAAACTACTCTGAAAAGAAATGAGATTTTTGAGAAACTATACATTTTTGACAAAAATTTACTTTTTATAAAAAAGAAGACTTTTTGGAGCAAAACATTCTGAAAATTTTGGAAATTCTGAACTTTTTTCAAAGCAATCGTACTGCTTTAACTGCATAGAGACGAAGCGCGTAAGCGCCGCGTCGCCGCCTAACGCATAAACAATGTAAACAAAATCTATCCTTATTGTTCAAATCTCTATAAAATATCTGATAATTTGATGTGCATATGTCTAATGATCATTTTTGACCGCCAATTGGCATTTTTTTACTTTTTTTACTGGATCTCCGAAACCGCTAGACCTGCCTTCATGAAAATTTGATCAGTTCTTCATCTTGTTAATACAAGTAAAATGTTTTTTGAATTATTCAAATCGGATGCTCCATTCTCTTAAAAACTGAGTTACCGTTTTTGGCACTTTTTGCCCCATATCTTCGGAACGGCTAGACCTGCCTTCGCCAAAAACTAATCAGCACGTCTCCTTATCAATACGAATCGAATGTTTTTTGAATTATTCAAATCGGTTGATCGGTGTTCTCGAAATTGTCGACAAAAATTTGTATCCGCACACACATACATCCATTTTTTCTAAGGTATGCCAAAATATTCATAAACCTTTGAAACGTAAAGATATATAAAAAATTTCATTTTCGATTTTTTTGCGATTACTATAACTTGCCCTACAGAAAGTTAATTATCAACAGAAACCGAAAATATCAATTATATCGTATTAAACAAAAATATCCGAGTTAAATATGTGGAAGAATTGTTCATTAGTTAGAGCTTTCGCACATTTTGTTATATAATTATTATAACCTATACACGTTATGCTGGTTTAATTTTTTTTATTTCTACTTTATGCAAAGAAAAAATCGATTATTAAAAAAGTGCTCTCCAGTAATTTGGGGTGGTTAGAGTTATGAGATATCAATCAGAGATCTTAGGATTGGTGTCATCAGTTTTCATTTGGAAATCTAGATGGCAATGTTTTTACGTAAAAGTGTCCCTTAACCGATATTGCTGCATCAATAAAAAATTCATCGCTTTTCAAAAATTGTAATAACTAAAGGTGTATGGCATCGATCCTTAAGGCAAATTGCTGTAACTTTCCGTACCATAATTAAATATTTGAAAAATAAAATTTAGTTTTAAAAAATATATTTTTAGAAAATTAAACAAAAAAACTTTCGCCAAAAGCAATCGTTTCGTCAACACAAGCTGTAAGCTTTTGAATCATTCAAATCGTATGCTATGTTTTCATAGAAACTGCCATTTTTGCCATCTCCGAAACAGCTGGACTTGATTTTGCCAAAATCTAATCACCACTTCTCCCCATCATTACTAAGTGAATGTTTTTTGGATCTCTTTGAAGCTCGATTTCTATTTTCTGCACTCTTTGCTCAGTATCTCCGAATCGGCTGAGCCTGCCTTTGCCAAAAACTAATCTATTATTCACATCCATTTTTCCTAAGGTATGCCAAAATGTTCAAAAACCTTCAAAACGTGAAGATATGCAGAAATTTTCAATTTCTCGCTTAAGTGTCAATAAACGTATTGAGCAAATTTAATTTGGGGGTGGGTGGCTTCAAAATAGCAAATTCTATTTAAGAACACAATAAAATAAAACTGTTTTTATTATAAGCACTTAGATTATTCGATTATATGTGATACTTTTTCAGCTACGATATTATGCTATATCCTATATTTTTCGATCTATATGTTTTATTCGCTTTGGAGCCTTGTAAAAAATTCTATTAAATTTACTTGATAATAAATTAAATAAAAAGCACTTGTTCGTTGGATTTCATAATTTTCTGTTAACTTACTTATTAATTGTTAGAAAACCGGGACTATCCGAGATAAAAGATCTAAATCCGGGACAAATATCGCTTTTAGAAAAACTCAAAAAAGAAAAGATTGAAAAAAGCTTAAAAAAATAGAGTAATTTTCAGTAAATATACGATAAAAATGAAAAGGCAGCGATAAAAAAGCGTTATACATATACGAATATTTTCGAACAAATGGGAAAACTTATGGTTCCGATATTGAAGATTAAGCTGACGATTCTAATTCATCATTAAATAAAACAAAACATTTTTTTCATGGATTGAATTGTATATGATTATTGTATTGACTATTGAATTAAATTGTACATAAGTGATGGAGCTGAAATATTTAATGCTTCCAATTATAAATGATTGCAAAAATTTTGTGAAAATAAAGAAAAGCTTTTACTATTACTTATTCTTTTGTCAATGTCGCAATAAATGACTAAAATTATACATGTCAATTCATATAATCATTATAATCTCTTCAAAAAAACAATTTACTTCTATACCGTAAACCCCATAATTAATTTAGGTAAAATAGTAAAAGTAGTCGAAACATTTCAATATAACTAAATTTCGAAAATTTAGTTTATTTTTATACTATAAAATATTATTGGAGCCGAAAAAATGCTCAAAAGTACATCGCGATTAAAAAAAACCTTGGCAAAGAAACCACCACTCGGAAATGAATTTGGAGCCAGGAAAACTTTCAATAAGGATTTCTATTTCGATTTCCATATATTTAAATATTAATTTAGTAATCTCAAGTTTATTCGTCTGGGAACTTGATGAAACGGGACTTACAGGCATAGTAATAGGACTTATGTCATAGTCCTGTAATATTTTAAAGACTTCGTTTTGAATATAAACTTTATACCCAAGCGAAGTTCCATTAAATTCACAGATGAATAAAAAATATTTGAATTTTTGCTGGAGATAAAATTCACTTTCAAGCTATGGTTATGGCTAGAGCCATAATAATTAGCTTTTTTGATTTTGCGTAGATTATTATAAGAATCTGCATTTATAAACAAATTTAAATTACTCAAAACAAATTTCACTTTGAAATGATATCTTTAAGCTTTGGATGAGTTTTTGGATGAGAAACTTTGATGAGTTATAAAGATAAATATATGCAAAGCGTACATAAAATAACAGTTAGAAATATTAGAAAAAATCATTAGAAATTTACCATAAAAAGTATTTTTTCTGACAAAGCTAAGTTGTTAAATTAAAGTAGACATGATGAACGAGCACGTTGTTTATATAACAAAAACGTATGAATCAGCTTTCTTCAAAAATATTAAACATTATCAGTCTATTTACGCACAACTTAAAATAAAATGAATCATAAAAAATGTGATAAAAATGCAACAATAAATTTGTATGAAAAATGAATGAAAGTGTATGTAAAGTAAATGAAAATAGTTAAAAGTAATAAAGCAAATAAGTTCCTGAATATATTAAACTTAAATAGGAACTCAGATATTATAAATCAATGAGATTAATTAATACTCATCTCGCTATAAATCTTTTCTAGAATTTCAGGATTATTTTACCTAGAGATCTTATCGAAAAGCATAAGTTTAATTACTTATTTTTTCACCATAGTAAGTTTCATCAAAATCCCAGAAGAATAAATACGAGGTTCTCCTTGTAAGTACAAAATGCACATCAAAACTAACAATATGTGAAATACTAATAAGACCAAATAAATATATAACGTAAAAATCGAATTTGTAGCAGTATTTTTATTATAAGGTTTATGAATGTAATACATCAACAGAAATGAATCATGAGTCATTAAAAAACACACTTTGATTAACTCTTTTCTTTTATTATAAAAAGGTAAAAACTATTCATGTAAGCAAATTGATATTAACGCATTACATTATATTTAAATAATTTAAGTTACAACAGTTTTTTTAAGTTAATAATTATATATATGTATCGTGTTTTTATTTTTAAACTTAATGATTTTGTGCACTGATCGGCCAAATATAATTTCAAGTTTTGGACAAAATAATTTAATTGAAAAAAAAGATAAAAATGTTAAAATAATCAAAATAGTATTATTTATCCTTTCGTCGAAATAGAGTTTATTAAAGAAAGAACATGAAAATTATAGTTAGATAGAGTTAGATGTAAAAAATTAACTACCTTTTAAAACTTAAAATACTTTCATCCTAATCGTATTCTTCTAGATAAGATAAGTGGATTTTTAAATTTATTATGGAATATACTTTGAGCAATTATTTAAAATATTTCATAAATTCGTAAAGAAACCATATAAAGTATTATACATCGTTTCTTCCATATATCGAAAATTCGTATTCTAATAAGTAAATCTTAAGTAAAATTGAGAAATCTCAAAATAATTAAAAAATATCCTTTTATTCGTAAACTTACTCTGGATCTGGTTTCCGAACAAAGTTTTCATGCAAGTCTTGAAGTATATTGTTAACCCTCCGTCGGTCGGCGTGGTCTGGCCAGACTTTTTTCGACTTTAATTAAAAAAAAAAATACTTCTAGTAATCCTATCGACTTAAAATTTCTTGACTTTTCCTAAAATTTCATTAGCTGTCGATCAATGAAAAAATCAGGACGAAAAAATGTACAGAAGGATAATTATAAGGATATTAAC